ATTATGGTGTATTGATAATTACTGGTGATTGAAATGCAAGGATTGGAAATAAAGAAGAAAGATCAGTAGTTGGAAAATATGGCATTGGTGATAGAACTTTGCATGACAGAATTTTGTAAGACTAATGACTTATTCATTGCAAATACTTTTTAAACAACATAAAAGCCGACTCTACACATGGACCTCATCAGATGGCATACACAGAAATCAAATACACTACATTGGCAGGAGTCCTGAGTTAATGCACTAAACTGCAAGGTTGGTTTGAACTGCAAGGTCACTAGTTCAAGCTCACCATCTGCTCCTCAGAAACCCTATACAAGGTCGCTATGAGTTGGAACTGACTCAATAGCATTTAGCAACAACAACAACCATCTGAGGGAAAGATAGTGGAAAAGCTCCATATCATCAGTCAAAACAGCACCAGAGGCAGCCTGTGGAGCAGATTATCAATTGCTTATATGCAAGTTCAGGCTGAAAGGTGAAGAAAATTAAGTCCACGAAAGCCGAAATTTGACCTTGAACATATCCGACCTGAATTTAGAGAACATCTCAATAACAGATTTGATGAATTACACACTAGTGACTAAACACCAAAAACAAGAGTTATGGGATGACATCAAGAACATCATACATGAAGAAAGCAAAAGGTCATTAAGAAGACAAGAAAGAAGGAAAAGACCAAAATGGATGGAAGAGACACTGAAACTTGCTCTCCAGCGTAGAGATGCTAAAGCTAATGGAAATATGAGGAGGTAAAAGAGCTGAACAGAAATATTTGTAGGGCAGCTTGAGAAGACAAAGTTAAGTATTATGAAGTGTGCAAAGACCTGGTGTTAGAAAACCAAAAGAGAAGAATATGCTCAGCATTCCTCAGGCTGAAAGAACTTGATGTACTGAAGGATTCTATGGGCAAAATAGCATCTAAAGACTTGCAATAGTCAAGCTTCAACTTGCTATATTGAAAGATTCTATGGGCAAAATACAATCAAAAGAAGATGGAAAGAATACAGAGTCACTGAACCAAAAAGAAATGACTGATGTTCAACCATTTCAAGAGATAGCATATGAGTGAGAGCCAAAGATGCTGAAGGAAGAAGTCCAAGTTGCACTGAAGGCAGTGGCAAAGATCAAGGCTCCAGGAATTGATGGAATACAAATTGAAATCTTTCAACAAACTAGTGCAGCATTGGAGGCACTCACTCATCTATGCCAATAAATTTGGAAATTTCAGCTAGCTGGCCAACTGATTGGAAGAGATACATAATTGCACCCATTCCAAAGAGAGATGACACAACAGAATGCAGAAATCATCAGACCATATCATTAATATTGCATGCAAGTAAAATTTTGCCAAAGGTAATTTAAAAATGGCAGAAACAGTATATTTACAGGGAACTGTCGGAATCAGATGCGAATGTGGAACAAGAAATATCACTGCTGACATCAACTGGATCTTGGCTGAAAGCAGAGATTACTAGAAAGATGTTTGCCTGTGCACTATTGACTATGCAAAGGCTTTTGAATGTGTGGATCATGACAAGCCATGTACAACATTGCAGAGAATGAGTATTCTGGAACACATAACTGTGCTCATGAGAAACTCGTACATGACTAAGAGGCAGTCATTCAAACATAACAAGAGAACACTGAATGGTTTAAAATCAGGAATGGTATGAGCCAGGGTTGTATTCTTTATACTTATTCAATCTATATGATGAGCAAATAATCCAAGAAGCAAATAATCTGAAGAATGTGGCATCAGGACTTGAGGAAGACTAATCAACAATGATAAGCAGATGATGATACAACCTTGCTTGCTGAAAGCAAAGAGGGCTTGAAATACCTACTTATTGTTGTTGTTGTTAAGTGTCATCAAGTGGGTTCCAACTCATAGTGACCCTGTATTGCATTTCCATTGAGTGGCTGGTGTGTTTGAACTGCTAACATTGCGGTTCAAACCGACCTTACAGTCCAGTGCTTATCCTACAGTACCATCCCAGAACTCTGTAAAATACTTACTAATGAAGATCAGAGACCACAGCCTTCAGTATGGGTTCCACTGTAATGTAAAGAAAACAAAAATCCCCACCACTGGACCAATAAATAACATCATGATAAATGGAGAAAAGATTGACATTGTCAAATCCTTCATTTTGCTTGGATACATTATCAACAATCATGGCAGCAGCAGTCAGGAAATCAAAGATGTATTGCATTAGGCAAATCTGCTCTTTGAAGGGTTCATGAGCAAAGATATCAGTTTGAGGACTAAGGTGCACCTGACCTAAGTTGCAGTATTTTCAGTAGCTTCATATGCATGTTAAAGTTTGACAATGAATAAGGAAGGCCATAAAAGAATTAATGCATTTGAGTTATAGTGTTGGAAAAGAATATTAAAAGTATCATGGAATGCTAGAAGAAAAAACAAATATATGTTGGAAAAACAGCCAGAATGCTCCTTATCATGATAATACTTCGTCTCTCATACTTCAGACATATTATCATGAGGGACCATGAGAAGGACATAATGCTAGGTAAAATGGAGGGTCAGGGAAAAAGAGGATCCCCAAGGAGATGGATTGGCACAGTGGCAGCAGCAATGGGCCCAAGTTTAACGATTGTGAGGATGGCACAGGCCTGGGCGGTGTTTCATTCTGTTGTGCGTAAAGTTGCTATGAGTTGAAACTGATTTGATGGCAACCAACAATAACAACATCCTGATTTTCTTTGGAGGATTTCCTTTTTCCATATTTTATCCCATCTTGGTGAAATAATAGAGCAAGGTAACCTTACCTCCCTTTAAGGAAATTAGGGAGATCTCTAAATTGTCTTCTCATTATTTCTGGTACAAACATGAGTGTTGTACAACCACAAAATAGCCTTTTTCAATTTGGGGACTTTTAACTTTGAGGAGAATAATACAAGGATGGCTGAAACTACTGGAGCGGCCAGCTGAGATAATGAAGCAATTCTTGCTTCTTTGATTGTGTGGCACTGTAGGATAAGCACTCAACTATAAGGTCTGTTTGAACCACAAGGTCAGTGATTGAAATCAACAGCTGCTCCTTGGAAAGCCTTTACTGGGTCACTATGAGTCAGAACCGATTTGACAGCACTTGATAACAAGATTTTCTAAAAATTACCTTGTTCCTTTCAATCTCTGAGTTCCCTCATATTCTTTCAATAAATTAACTTCTCATTTTCATTTGCAAGAGTGAGTTTCTGTTGCTTTTAACAAAACAAACCCAACTAATGTGTCAAATGCTCTCATTCTAATTATCGTAGCAGATGTATTAGTCTAGCATGTAGAGACCAAGCCGACCACCATTTTGTGAGGTAATGCTGTCATGTCCAGTGGTAGGGGTTGCTGATTTACATGGAAATGACTACTCATTCCTCAGATGTGGGAAAGCAAAATTATTCTGGAATCTCACAAATAAGCCTGTAAATTTGCTAGAATCATACAGAAATCTCCTTAGGAAGTAGCAAGGGTAGGGTTGGCTATGTCCCCGAGCCCAGGTGGTAACTGTAAATACAAGTAAATAGTTTCAGTTTTGACTGTCATGAGTACAGCCAACAGTATGGAATTTTTCACCCCCTCACAAGTAGAAAACAGAATTGGACAGACTTCATCCATTAGGCTGAAGTAGATCCTCAGCAGTGTAAATTCTACACACATACAGTTGGATGGCAGCCAAAGATAGAAAATTAGTAAATCTGTAAATATTGGAATTAAGGGTTTTCTAAGGATGAAGGAGTCCTGGTGTGGCACTGTAGGTTAATGCACCGGACTGCAAAGTTGATTTGAACTGCAAGGTCGGCAGTTCAAGCTCACCAGTGTAGTCACTCCTCGGAAACCCTATACAAGTTCACTATGAGTCAGAACCAACTCAACAGCACTTAACAAAAACAAGAAAGGATGAAGGAGTGGGCAAAGGTATAAGCTTATAAGAGACAAATGCATAGGAACACCAAATACGTGGTGAATGACAAAGCAGATGTAGTAATACTGGTTTATGTGTTAGGGGTCAGAGAGTAATATTGGTGTACGTGTTTGGGGCCAGAGAGATAAGAGTAAATGCAGTTGAGTTTGGAACAGTAGGTAGGAGGTACCCCTTCTTAAGTAACTGACCAGAACATTTCTTTATCATATTCAACTTATTTTTATAGGTTAGTCTATTTCTAATGCATGGATGGATTCAGGGTCCGGAACAGAACAAATGAAGCCGTAAAGCAAAAAAACAGAGGTACTAGGGGAATCTTCATTCTTTAAAGGAAACCATTTGTAGAATGACCTTGTGACTCTTTACTATTGCCAAACAGTCTAACCATAAGTCCAGAGAGCTGGGGCTCTTGCATCTATCAGCTCTATGGTCTTAGCTTGTAGCCAATCATGACCTTCAGTTTCATCTACTGAGCAATGGAGAGTAACGTTGCTACTAACCCACCCACTTCATCAGGTTATTGTAAAGGTCAAACAAATCACAAAAGTGCTTTGAGAAAGCAGAAAATACTGTAGAAACCTAAAAAAATTATCAGGATCCTCTCTTCTAAGTTGGAAAAATATTTTATTTGCATCTTCTCTGAAGAATTGAACGTCTTCAGAAAGCATTGGACTCCTGGTGTGGCACTACAGGATTAGCACTGGACTGTAAACCACAAAGTTAGGGGTTCAAATCCACCAGTTGCTCCTCGAAAACCCTATACACAGTAGCTATCAGTTGGAACTGACTGAACAGCAGTGAACAACAACAACAACAGAAAGCATTCGTTTCTAAATTTATACTTTTCACAGACCACTACTAGGAAATAAACTGAATAACTAGCAAACTTTTTTACAAGTGAACTTTAATCTGGCCAGTAAACTAATGCACTGACTTCTGGAAGCCATCACTACGACTTGGGTTGTGTGTTGGGACTATTCTAGTAGCTGTTGTCAGCTCTAGGGCACAGGGGACTCTGGGGTTGTGTTCAGTAGATGCAGTCGCTGTAAGTCACTACTTTTTATGCAGCTTGGTTTTGATTTTGTTATTAGATTTAGCCCGGGCTCTGGATTCAGCGGTGACATTATTCTCCTTATTCTGCACCTCTGAAAAAACAAAAGTAAATAGAATATTACAGTAATTGTGTATTTACTAAGGGTTTTTTAACTTTACAGGGCATTTAAAAAAACGATGTTCTTTCTGAGTAATCCCCTGCAATTATTTGACTCTAAACTGGTTACTGGGATTCAAAATGCGTTTTCCCAATGTTTGTTGTTGTTGTTGCTAAGTGCTGTTGAGTCCATTCCAACTCACAGGGACCCTCTATAGGGTTTCCAAGGTGCAGTTAGTAGGCTTGAACCACAGACTTTGTGGTCATAGTCCAGTACTTATCCTACAGCACCACACCAGGTGTCCCAATGTTTAGATGTGGTTAAATGCTTGATTTCTGGATTCTGGGTTTCTAAGCAATGAGACTCTGTGCTATAGGAGAGAAGAAGAGGAAGAACATTTCTCCTTCCTTCTTATACATATCCCAAACTTGGTGGGGAAAAAAAATGCAAGTCAGTTAGCTGGGACTCCTATTCCATTCCTGTGGTCCTTATCTGTCTCCTTGTCCCTCTCCCTGTAGCCTTCTGTGCACAAGTCCTACACAGACCCAACCCTCACCTCCTGCCATCAAGCCTGCATGTATCTAAAGAGGCTCCATTAGGCCAAGTTTCCCAATCCGAACCCTTCAGACTGTCTGCTGCCAAATTCATCCCACATTTGGTCACCTTTGTCCACACCCTGCATTACTATTAATGTATCCTTCCCAAACCAGATCATGGACAGTCTGAGATCTGAAACTGAGCTATCTTTGAAAACTCCACTGCCAATTTCTTTCTCCACTCACAGCTCTGAACACAATGTTTTGCTAAATAGTAAAAAATATAGACATAAAGATGAAGATAAATGCATCTCCCTCTCTGGTTCTCGCCTAGGTCTTCTTTCTGGCTCAGCATTCACAAGACATCTCTCCCTTGTCCATACCATTTTCCCTCCCTTTGCTGCACTGCATGACTTTCAGGAGAGAAGGAGCTCACTGCACGAGCTCATCCTAATATGGCAATGTCTGAGTGCTCCAGAGTGGTTGTTTTTTTTCAAAGGGGCTGTCCGAACTATCTTAAAGAACATCTAACCTAAGAGTTTACAGGAGACAAAGTTCAGGTCTCCTGCAGGGCATGAGGACTGTCTTGCTTAAGAGCCCAACCCCCTAAGCTTTGCAAGGCTTCTTGTCCTCTACCTCAGAGGCCTCTAAGGGGGATGCCTGGAGGGAGAGAGAAAGGTTTGTCCAGATTATTGTTTATGGGTTGAGGATTAACTGTAGATAGTTATGTTTTTAAAAATGTAATAACTTTTCAGTTCTGGATTTAACCTAATTCCCAAGACATTATGGTAATACACAAAACTGAAGCTCCTGACTTCATATTCAAGTAGCCTCTGCAGTAACACAGCTCTTTGGTATGGTTTCTGTGCTTAATTTTCTGTATTCTACAAAAGATCTAGTTTTCAAATAATCAGAATAAAATGGTGATACTAAATGTGAGAAGGGAACACAGTGGCTCTAGAGCATAAGCCCTGGACTGCAAACCACAAGATCAACGGTGCAAGTCCACCAAGTGCTATTCAGGAGAAAGATGAAGCTTTCTGCTTCTGCAAAGATTTACAGCCTTGAAAATCCTATTCTGGGTCGCTTTGAGCTGGAACAAACTCAACAGCACTTAACAACAAGTGTTAGAGGATGAAATAAAATAACTCGTGAAAACTTATATATATAAGCAAGTAGTCCCTGGGTTATATCCAGTTTAAATTTAAAGACAATTCCTACTTGCCCTTTAATGCTATGTAAGTTTGCCAACACTTTGAAATGGCTAAATCAACAAATTTTTGCAACAAATTCATTACAATCACCGTTTGCAGCACCAAGAACAGATTTCGTTAGTAGCCTAGAGGTTGGCTGTATTCAAACTCCTAACTAAGGGCTGCTGAACTTGGATTAGATAACACTTTTACCAATTCAGAGTGAACAGAATTAGAGCTCACAGACTTCCTTCAAATAGTGTTGATAGCGAAGATTATGAGAAACAGACCAACTTTTTTGCTTTTGATGCCAGGTAGGTGGAGATAAGGAATAACAGAGGAAAACAGAAATAAGATATCTTCCAGGTTCTGCCTCTCATATTAGGAGTTGTCCAGGGAACTCACCACAGATTAAGGATGAAAGCAAAAATTAAAAACTAGTCCCTAACTTTAGATCCAGAGAGGGAGAGGGGCTGTGTGTTGACGACCGGGGGACAGGCTTGTAGTGTATACCCTTTGGTTGGCTGATGATGCATGGAGGGGATTGTAACCATGGCAACAAAATGAATGTAAAACTAATGTTCTCCCATGTAAACAATCACATAATTCACAATAAAACATTAAAGAAAAAACAAAAACTAGTCCCTAGTGTTGGGGATATTGAGAACTGCTTTAGGGCAGATTATAACACTAATTAGAGATAAGAAAATGAAAAGTGAAATTCCTTTTCCGGTAGAATAAATTAGATTGTTATTTATCATAGAAAATCTAATGAATACAAAAATAGAAGATAAAAATACTAAGAAATCTCCATTACCCGCAAATGTCTGTCAATATTTGAGTATATTTCTTTCTGATCCTTTTTCTAGTCTTTAAAAAATTGTGTTATATCCTGTTTCTTGCCCATGATATTTTAACAGGAATTTCAATTGTCACTACAAGCTCGTAAACAAATACAATTTTATAGTTGTATGATAGTCAAGCATGTGACTATAGCATGATTTATGTAATCTTTCTTCCTGGATTGAACAGGTAGATGTTTCTATTTTTTTCTGTTAGATAGACTGATACACTGAAAAACCATGTATATTAAGACTTTTTTCTTCTTCTGTGTTTAGGGCCATTTCCTTAGATTAGATTCTCAAGAATAAAATTACTAGGTCAAAGTCTGTACATGCCTTTAAAGGTATTTCAAACATATTAATCAAATTATTTTCTAAAAGGGTTGTCTTTGTCTACCACAATATTTGCAAAAGTAACCACTTTGCCAATTTTCACCAGCTCTGTGTTCTTTCATTAAAAAAAAAAACTTTGTCAGTTTTGTATGTCAAAATTTTATCCCATATTAGTTATTATTCCACAGGTGTTTGCAATGTGGTTTTCCTTTTGTGAGTTATCTGAATAGATAATAGTGATAAAGTTAAATATGCATGCATTCAGATGAGAAGTATAAAGTAGTAGACCATCACTATAAAGACATTGATGTTCTTCTAAAATATTGTGACCTAGTTATGTAACTTCAGTCAATACAAACCTAAAGAAAGCAAAAACAAAAGGCAAGCCTCACCTTTCTTCAAAGATTTTGAGGAACTTTCTACTTGCTTGACTTCTACGCCTTCTTTGTCTTCTTTGTCATCTTCTTTGTTTTCTTCTGCTTCGTTTTCTTCTGCTTCATTTTCTTCTTCCTCTTCTTCTTCAGACTCCTTCTTTTTAAGTTGCATTAACACATCTTCTAGTTCCCTCTCCAATTCTTTATTTTTTATAAGGGTATAATGAAGTTTTTCATTTACCTCATCAAGCTTCTCTTCTGCCTGCAAGGCTCTGCTTTCAACTTCACTGATGTAGACAAAGACCAGAGAAACAGCAAAATGGAAAGGGTCAAAAACTAAAAAGTCTCTTTAGAAACCCATTATCTAAAAAAAGGTAATGAGATTAGATGAACACATCTAAAGGATACAGAAAAGGGAAGCAGTTAACACCAATGATTGGTCAAGACTGAGGATGTGGAAGCTACTTCAAAGGTTAAGATTATAGTTATACTATGATTTAAGACAACTTATTTATCATTTCTAAGTGAAATCTAACTTTTGAGTATTTGGAATTCTCCTTCAAAAGCTGTTGTTAGGTGTCATTAAGTTGGTTCCAACTCATAGTGACCCTATGTAAAGCAGAACAAAACACTGCCTGGTCAAGTACCATACTCACAAGTGTTGCTATGTTGCAGCTACTGTGCCATTGTTCAGCTACTGTGTAGCCATAATGTTGTGGATCTTACTCTTTTCCTCGGACCCTTTACTTTACCAAGCATATTTCCTTCTTCAGGGACTAGTTCCTCCTGATCACATATCCAAAGTACATGAGACAAAGTCTTGCCATCCTTTCTTGTAAGGAGCGTCTGGCTATACTTCTTTCAAAATACATTTGTTTATTTTCTCAGTCTACAGTACTTTCAATATTCTTCACCAGCACCATAATTCAAAAGCATCATTTCTTCTTCAGTCTTTATTCAACGTCCAGCTTCTGCATGTATATGAGTTGATTGAAAATACTATGACTTATACTAGGTGCATCTTAGTCCTCAAAGTAACATCTTTACTGTTTTAACTTTTTTGTTTTCCTTTTTAATATTTTTGCAACAGATTTTACCCAGTGCAATAAGTCATTTGATCTCATGACTGCTACTTCCATGGGCATTGACTGTGGATGCAAGTAAAATGAAAGCTCCATTTATCATGCGATTGTTTATTAGACCAGTTGTAAGGATTTTTGTTTTAGGTTGAATGCTGTAGTCATTCATCTAAATCAGTAAGTACTTCAAGTCCTCTTCACTTACAGCAAGCAGGTTGTGTTATTTGCATATATACTGAGCCTTCCTCCAATCCTGATGCTGCATTCTTCCGCATAGAGTCTAGCTACTTGGCTTATTTGCTCAGCATACAGATTTAAAATGTGTGGTGAAAGGATACAACACTGACACTCACCTTTTCTAATTTTAAGCCACATAGTGTCCCCTTGTTCTGTTCAAACAATTGCCTCTTGGTCTATGTACAGGCTCTCCATGAGCATATACAAGTGATACAGAATTCCCATTCTTCACAAGATTATCCATAATTTGCTGTGATCCACACAGTTGAATGCCTTTGCATAGTCAATAAAACGCAGGTAAACATCTTCTTTTCAGCCAAGATCCATCTGATATCATCAAGGATATCCCTTGTTCTATGTCCTCTTCTGAAACCAGCTTGAATTTCTGGCAGTTCCCTGTTAATATACTGTTGCAACTCTTTTTGAATTATCTGCAGCAAAATTTTCCTTGTATACAATATTAATGACATTGGCTGATTATTTATTTATTTATTTTTGGATCACCTTTCTTTGAAATAAGCATCAGTATGGACTTCTTCCAGTTGGCTGATCAAGTAGCTGTCTTCCAAACTTCCTGGCATAGACAAGCAATTACCTCCATTTGTTGAAACCTTTCCATTGGTATCCCATCAATTCCTGTTGTTGTTGTTGTTAGGTGCCATCAAGTCGGTACCGACTCATAGAGACCTTATGCACAGAAGAACGAAACACTGCACGATCCTGGGCCAACCTCACTATTGTTGCCATGCTTGAGTCCATCGATGCTGCTACTTGGCCAATCCATCTTTTTGGGGGTCTTCCTCTTTTTCTCTGACCCTCCACCTTACCAAACATGATATCCTTC